GTGCTGGGCTGGCTGCAGGCCGGGGCATCAGGATTGTCCGTATGAGGAGGTGGGGGGGGCAAGGCGGTGGAATGCGACGGCGGCGAGAAGCATCTCAGATGGAGCCGGGACACCTGGAAGGCAAGCCGGCACTTCGGCATGCCTTTAAGTGCCGGCTTGCCTTCCGGGTGTCCTGGCTCCATCTGAGATGCTTCTCGCCGCCGCCGCGTTCCACCGCCTTGCCCCCCCCTCCTCATACAGACAATCCTGCTGCCCCAGCCTGCAGCCAGCCCACCCACCCCCGCCTGACCTGCTCCCTGCCTGGACTCACCGCTCTTCTCCTCCTCCTCGTCCCCTCTCGGTGCTGGGCTGGCTGCAGGCCGGGGCATCAGGATTGTCCGTATGAGGAGGTGGGGGGGGCAAGGCGGTGGAATGCGACGGCGGCGAGAAGCATCTCAGATGGAGCCAGGACACCCGGAAGGCAAGCCGGCACTTAAAGGCATGCCGAAGTGCCAGCTTGCCTTCCGGGTGTCCCGGCTCCATCTGAGATGCTTCTCGCCACCATCGCGCTCCACCGCCTTGCCCCCCGCCTCCTCCGACAAACAATCCTGATGCCCCGGCCTGCAGCCAGCCCAGCACCGAGAGGGGACGAGGAGGAGGAGAAGAGCGGTGAGTCCAGGCAGGGAGCAGGTCGGGCGAGGGGTGGGTGGGCTGGCTGCAGGCCAGGGCAGCAGGATTGTTCATCGGAGGAGGTGAGAGGCAAGGCGGTGGAGCGCGACGGCGGCGAGAAGCAACACCCCCGCCATTGTGTCCGACAGGCGTCTCGTGTTTATGTCCGCCATAAATGAGAGACGCCTGTCGGACACAGTGCCGGGGATGTTGCTTCTCGCCGCTGCTGCAGTCTTGCCTCACCAACGGTAACCGTCACCGCACGTCACTGGGCAAGGGGTGGTTTGATAAGTCCCACGGTTGTGCTGTATAGGCTATAAAGGTAATGACCACAACTCTGAAATTAGTTGGGAGGCCAACTGGTAATCAATGTACAACTTCAAAGTATATGTTACTTTAGTCCAGGGGTGACCAACCTTGGCAACTTTAAGATCTGTGGACTTCAATTCTTAGAATTGCTGGCTGGGGAATTCTGGGAGTTGAGTTCACAAGTCTTAAAAGTTGCCAAGGTTGGACACTCCTGCTTTAGTCTTTAATTTTCCTTCCTGGGTCTTCTGGCAGCTCCCTTCTGTTAAAGAAAAGAATAGCATTATGTTGCACAACTATAGCAATAGCAGTGAGACTTATATACCGCTTCATAGGGCTTTCAGCCCTCTCTAAGCGGTTTACAGAGTCAGCATATTGCCCCCAACAACAATCTGGGTCCTCATTTTACCCACCTCGGAAGGATGGAAGGCTGAGTCAACTATCCCATACTTGAAAGTTACCACTAGAATAGAGCATATATAGTTTGACAAGATTAACATCTAGGTATAGAAAGAATGAGTTGAGGTTTCCTCAATAGATGAACCTTAATTCTACCGTATCTCAAAAGCATCCAATTGGACTCATTGACTACATTACTGTGCAGTTGTACGCTGCTCCCTGAGGCTCGCACAGAATCCACAGCAATTTCCAAATCACAACTGCATTCTGTCTTTTTTATTTATATTGTCTCAACTATCCAGTTGATAATACCAGAGAAGGAAGAGGAGGGTGGGAAGCAGAGGGTGAATGAAAGCTTTGCCATTGCCCAGCAATTCCCCCTTCCTCCCCCACCCCCAAATTGGAAGAAACAAATAAATACATGACTGTAGCCTCTTGGAACTCTATTAATAGGAGGCCTAACATGCTCTCTAGGATATCCCTACCTTTTGCCAGAAGCTACAAATGTATAAGCTAAAGTAAACAATGGAAAGGTTACTGAAGGTTAAGTACATTCACATACTTCAGTCTTAACAGCCAGACGCCATGCTGGGAAGATAATTTACACAGCGTGAACTCGGTGCCCTAATTCTGACAAGGGGGGAGGGAGGGAAAAGCGGTGGGAGGTTTTCTAAGAAACATCACATGTCCACCGCGAATGAAGGTCAATCAAAGGGCACCTTTGTTTATAACCCAGCCCCTTTCCTCGTTTATCTTCCGCTGGGGATTCCCTAGTTGGCTGCCCTCCAGATTTTGTGACATCACCTGTCAGCTAATAATAGAAATGCAGTCAGCCACCTGCCAGCAAAGATAGATGGGTTTTTGGTTACAGACTGACTAATTAAAAGACTGCCTTAGCCCTCTGTGCTCACACTCCCCTCCTTGTTTCCCGCTGCCAAGGAAACCCTGGGCTCTCTATAAACTGAGGCTCAAAGTTTCTAAACTAAGCCTGCTGAGAACATTGGAATTACAGAAATGTTTGCGCGGGGGGGGGGGGGGATTGGCTCTTTTCCTTCAGTCAGTTGAAATGAAATGCAAAAACAATTGGCCTGAATTAAGAAGCCAGCTCAAGACTGCTACAATTTCAAAGGATGGAAACATGTTTTGCACATTTGACTTCTAATAATATATTGGGACCAGAACCTTTGTTAGTGATGTGGTAGTTAAGTGAGCTACATGTGATTTTATGGCCTTTTTTGTTGTAGTCATTAAATGAATCACTGTCGTTAAGCAATTCATAAAATTGTTAAGCAAAAATGGCTCCCCCCCTTGACTTTGCTTGTTGGAGGCTTCCTGGGAACGGCATAAATGGTAATCACACAATCCTGAAACACCACAACCATTAGAAATTCATGCTGTTTGCCAATGTTGATTATGTGACTACAGGGGCGTTTATGATGTGAGACTTTACCAGCCTCTGTGTCCATGTTATTTCTTTTTTCAATCTGTTCCTAACTTTTTTCAAAGTTATTTTATTGGAAGATCAAAAAAAGCAAAATAATATGCCTGCTTCTAGTACATCTTAATTAAGCTGTTAAGTTGTTAAAGTATATAAGCAGTTCCAAATAAGTTTTTTTTGTTGCAAAGTCTGAATATTCAGGTATGTTAACTTTTAAATTTCCATGTATCTAGGCCACCCTTTCGGTATTGCTCCAAGGGCTCCTATCACTATCGGTACAGCCAATGATTTCTTCCTCCACAATAGCTTAACCTCATTTTGCAGATAGAGGTATTTCTAACTTTTTTTCTTCAATTTCTGCATCACCTGGTATTGCAATATCAATGCAAGACTTTTCTTTTCCATAGTGATGTCAGGCTTGTTGTGGGTCAGATATCTGTCTGCTTGGATTCAAAAGACCTACAAGGTTTTGACTTGCTAAATTTCAAGAACTTTGTCAATTTAGCTTTTGGTGTTCACAGTAATTTTTGCTGCATTTGAACCCAAACCTCTGGCAAAGCTTCTAATGTATAATTCTGACATCAACCATGACATTGTAGCTAATCATTCAGTGAGATTTGCTGCAGCCACTGATAAAGTCATCCATTGTTTCATCTTTCTCATTGCATAAAAAGCATTTGCTGGTTTTACTGACATTTATTATTATCATAATTATCATAATTATCATTATTACTTAAGATTTAATCTTCATTTTGATTCACATCCTAGGACTGGTAACAACTTAACAGTTCAAGTCCTAACGAAGAAATTATTGTTGTTTCTGTTTGTTGTTGTTGTTATTGGTGTTGTTATTGAATGTGAAGGATATTTGGGTGCTTTGTCTGTCATGCATGTTTTTCCGAAGATTCCCAGTTTGCTTTTGATTAAATGGATACAGAGTAAAAACAGAGCATCAAAAGAGCATGAAGCTTGTTCTCTGCCTCTACATTGTAATCTTTTTCATGAGAAAGTTTATTTTCTATGAGCAGGGATTTTGTGAATGGAGTCATGCCCACAATGGCAGGTATTTATGAATGGGAAAGTGCCACCATGGTGGCTGTTTTGTGTCCTGATGCTTTTTCAGCATTGCAAATTAGCATGCAGTAAGGTGAAATTCAATTATAGATCCATCAGTAAGTTAGGAAGAATGTGGAAAACATAATTTGGTAAACATACTCCTTTCTACCCTTCAGTATATACTGAAGAGAATTCTGTTTAGTAATTGACTTTTTATGAATAAATTGTGATTCAAAGAACTGAAAGCTGAAACACTAACAGTCCTCTATTTCCTTTCTTCAAGCACCATTATGCATTGTTAACTCTCTTCATATATTTTGCACTATTGGTGTGTCCATAAATTGCTTGTACAGAACAAGTGTTGAAAATTAGGAGACTGACTAAGCCTTATATATTTTGTAAAATCCCTAACTCAGCAGTAAAATCTATGAACAACTACTCATATTTGGTGAAATTTTTCCCAAATGTAATCATGTTTTTGTTTTAAAAATGGAGTTTCTACTTGGTCTAAATATTTTTTTTTGCTAAATAGGATACTGATAAGACCTTTAAATGTGGGCTAAATGTTTACACCATGAACTTTGACATTTCTCTGCTTTACCATTTACTCAAAGTAAAGCTAGATTTTCCATTTGAAATCTGTTTACTTCAGGCTGTTAAAGAGAGTATCGAGGTGTAAACAATTATGATGGAAAGTAAATATTGGCACACTGGTTCAACTATATGGAAAATCATTCCTAACACTAATTCTTATTGTTTACGGAATATCCATCTAAACTAAACTGTTCCAGCACCATCGTTGACACGATAAGGCTTTCAGAGAGATATTACAGCAATGGAGTTGCTATTCAATTTATCCCAGTATTTTAGGTTTGCTGTTTCACTCCTCAGCATATTTCCTGTGGTTACTTCCATTGCAACAAAAGGCAAGTTATCTACAGCAAATGTTTTTCTAGTATTTCTGCTGGAAAAATAGCTTTCATCTCTGGAAAGTAATATTTTAAAGGCTGATAGCTTTATTTTGTGACATAAACTTTCTTGGACTGAAGCCTACTTCATTATAAGAAATAAATATTGCTCTCAGTTGGCAAATATATATTTATAGGTGGGTGTGTACATACACACAGAACATACTTAAGTATTTTCCTAAGGCAACAGCATCCACAGTAATATTAATTCCAGAATGAATAAAATCCAATTTTATGAATAATTGTTTAGTTTGGGAATTTTCCATTGCTGCCTATAAGTGAAGTATTTTTTGTTGAAGTACGATCACCTTGTCAGACAAAAGAACTAAGAGATCTAAGCACTCTTCAGTTTGTTTCTCAGTGTTATTTTTCTATTCTTTTTAAGGAAACTGACTGTATGTTCCTGTCCACAAGTGCTAGTATATAATATCATATTGGAGGAACAATTGAATGAGCCCTTAATGGCCAAATAAAATAGTAGGTTGATTGAATTATATTACAATAGACTATCTATAGATACCCCATCATTTTAGTCTCTCTCTTTATACTTCTAGCATGTATTTTTTACATTCTACATTTTATGGCCTATGGTAGGCTCCTTATTATGCTTCCTTTCCTTTCTTGGGTGTCTCAGTCTTGCAGCTACTAGCAATTTTCATTTTTTTCTCTTTCTTTCCATACATCTCTCTCAATAGGTTACCGACTCTGAAATATTCTAAATGGCTATTATGTATTATTTCACTTTCCCATGACCCCTGTTTGGTCTTCCTATTTTTGTTGGAGCCGTGGTGGCACAGTGGTTAGAATGCAGTACTGCAAGCTACTTCTGCTGATTGCTGGATGCAGTTTGGCAGTTCAATTATCACCAGCTCAAGGTTGAACTCAGCTTTCCAATCTTCCAAGGTGGGTAAAATGAGGACCCAGATTGTTGGGGGCAATATGTTGACTCTGTAAACCATTTAGAGGGGGTTGTAAAGCACTGTGAAGCAGTAAATAAGTCTAAGTACTATTGCTATTGATCTACAATTTGCTGCTTCTCTTACTTTCACTTCTTTCTAATGCGGCCCACAGTTCTATTCTCAGATTTCTATTATCTCTAAAACAAACAAACAAAGAAAAGCTCTACATGCTTTCTGAGTTTTCTGTGATACCAGAACAGCTGAGAAAACCACTGTCCCAAACTTCATCACTGATGGTAAAACATTTGTTGTCAACATTAAATGTAGTATCAATGAAAATAAAATGTTACGAATAAAAAAATGTAAAAACAACAGAAGTCCATAGAAATAATTTACTATATGCTGTAAAGTATTTGCTGGAACAATGCCATTAGAATTTTGCAGATCTAAAAAAGTTAAATAAAAATGGAAATACAGGCTTATTTCGCTTCGGTAATGTGGAGTACATTTTCCTTCCATTAAAAATTAGTAGCAAACATTTTTAATAGTTATTAATGGAGTTAAATTTAACATGTAGAATATCGGTACAGATTTGAGAGATATTTGCACGTGTCAATATGAATATATGCAAATCCTTTAAGAGATCTGTTGACATAGGTAATCAAGAACTACTCTCCCTCATTTATGAGCTCCAGAAATTAATTAGGAATATCTACATGTGGCAGATGTTTTTATGAGATTTAAGTTGTTTAGTAACTCCATCTCCTGTGCAATTTTTTAAAAAGATTGTTTCTGTAGTTCTTCAACTTACCAGGAGATGGCGGCTGAATCTTAGCTTGTTTCTTAGTATCTCCAGTGCTGAAGACTTCTGGAGGGGGTTCCTCCCCTCGTTCAATCTTGCATTCAAAGGCAAAGAGGTATTGAATATATTGTTTTTTCAAGGAACTGGCTGCACTGCTTGAAGTGCCAACGTTTAGGTTGGTAGCCAGCTCACGCCACTTCTTATTTTTATTAACCTAGGAAATGAAGGAAGGAACAAATGCACAAATAAATAAAATAGGTTGAATGAATTGCAGCAAAGTAGATTGATAAAAAAACTGAAAAGGGAAAAATCTACATGTAATGTCTTTCAAAAACAAAACAAAACCCTAATGCCCATTATTCCCTCACTTAATAATGCATAAACATTATCTGCACTTACCAAACCATTAAAAAAACTTACTTTGGCTATATAAAATGCTTTGTTATTTACATCTCTACTTTTTATGCTTTCAGTGAGTTTGAGATATGTAGTGTGATCAAATTTATTTTATATACTTTGTTCCTCTGATACACAAACATACAGTCTGAGTGTTATTTTTTTTTAAATCAACTTTTAAAAATAAATTTTAAATGGCAATAATGAAGATATTATTGAAGTGCTTTAACATCTTTCAAACTTCTTCAAAAAAGCAGCTCCAGATTTGTTTAGCTCGTATTTCTGGTTCAGGGGCTAAAACTCCAGGCCCTCTATAAGGGAGACAAGCACTCATTATGCAGAATAAAAGATGGATTATGAATTTATTAAAAAAATTTCTACAGCGGAAATACTGATGAATGAAATGAATTTTATTGGTAATACATGACACTAAAATTCTAAGAATTGCTTAAATAAAATTGGATGATTTATGAAGACCAAAAATGAATACTGTATGCATCCTTTATGTAGATCTATTGCAGCATATTTTTTTCACTTCCCAGTTATGGTTAAAAAAAAATCTAACCAAATATACACCTATATATTTTCTCAATTATTGCATACACAGCTATATGCTTTTCTTTCTATATCTGTATTTGAAATCACATTTGTATAAAACAGTCATTATTTACAAGATGTTCCATATTGGTGTACAAAATTTTATTAGGCGTTATTTATATAAGCAGTCTCATTTCACTGATTATGCATGAAGATGCAATTCAATACTCATCCCCCCCCACCCCAGCAAAATGTCAACATAACCAGTTTGGAATAGCAATTTAAGGCACTGGTTAGAATTCAGGGGACCATGAATTCTAATTCTGTCTTAGGCAAAAAGCCAACTGGGTGATGTTGGCCTAGTCACTCCCTCAGCCCCAGAAAGGAGGCAATGGCAAACCTTAAAAAATTGCTAAAAAAATCTACAGGGACTTGTCATCATTTTTAATATGAAAATGAATTTAGTACCACCAGAAAAGTGTTATTTGGGGGGATGGAGGTTGCGGATAGTTACACTGGAAAATTAAGAGATCCAAGGTAATCATATCTTTTTAATATATTTTAACACTTTTCTTGAGATTATGCACTCTGAATTCTGAATTGATATGCTTGCCATTCTGTATTCCGTATTAAAAGCCAAGGTGGCGCAGTGGTTAAATGCAGCACTGCAGGCTACTGCTAGATCAGCAGTTCAGCGGTTCAAATCTCACCGGCTCAGGGTTGACTCAGCCTTCCATCCTTCCGAGGTGGGTAAAATGAGGACCCGGATTGTTGGGGGCAATATGCTGACTCTCTGTAAACCGCTTAGAGAGGGCTGAAAGCCCTATGAAGCGGTATATAAGTCTACTGCTATTGCTATTGTATTCTGAGGTTCTCTGCACTATGTTTACCTGATCTTCAGTCTTTGAAAATATGCAGATTAGAATAATGTTAAGTTGCATTTCAAGGATAGTCTCTACTTTTGCCTGCAAGGTTAAGATTAAAGCCATATGACAATCTGGCATCACTCACAATCACTCACCTGGGCTAACCCACCAATCTCCTTAACACAAATATAGAGTCTAAAAAGATCCAGTGGCTTCTTGCCAACAGCAGGGAGACCAGCTACAGGTGTTCCCCTTTCTTCCATGAAGTTGAGATAGCGATCCACCCAAACTTTCCGCTCTGGCTCAGTTCCCAGCTCATACATTTTGGTGATCTTCTCCCCGGTTGTGTTGGAGGAACTTGATTTCTAAAGCAAATACATTTCAAAAAGAAAGTTGGGAAAGGGAGGGAGACAGGAAATGGTAGTAAGAAACTAATACAACATAGACAAAGGAGGATGTTAAAGCTATCACACAACAGACAGGAATGAAGGCTACTAGTTCAGGCACAAACAATACATTCCGTCCACATGCTGCATTTCATTTATAAAACAAAGGGCCCAAACTTCCAATGTTATTGTTTTCATATTAATTCAGATAAGCTTTGGATCTCAGAAGGCAAGTTTCTGATGATGCCTGAGGCTAGTAATAATTTCACTCTATTAAAAAATGAAACTCGGAAAAACAAGATAATTCAAACGTTCACATTCAAATCAGTTCTGCTGTAATTAGAATTAAAAGAAATCTAGTCCTTCACACCACTAGTCAAGCAAATAAGGAAACTACAACTGGCAGTAACTTCATAATACTATTCACCATAATTCCTAATTCATATATTAAAAACACATATAGTTAAATACTATTTCCTGACTTATTAATCTTGGATTTGAAAATTGAAAATTGCAGAGTTCTTTTTCCATATGCCTGTTTATTCCACTTCCCTATTATGTCTATATGGTTAAAAACATTTAATAAATGTTTAAATAATCAGAATAGCCATTTGCTATCTGCCAAAGTTTCACATTCATTTTATTTCCTTTATTGACTTCTTTTTCTATCATCAATGACACTATCCTGATCATTATCATGTGTAGGAGAATTCCTCAAACATGACCTGTAACTTTAGCTAAAAAAGGATTTCTCTTACTGATTTTAACCCTTAGAAAAATCGATGCATTTGGCATTGAAAACTTAGCACATGGTATTCTTTTTCAGGATGAATTTAGCCTTTTAAAGACTATTTTTAGACAACTATTTAAAGACTTGCAGAGTAATAATCTAAAACTGTCCTGACTGTGATAATGTAAAGAAGGGATTCTATGCTACAGGTGGAGGCAAGGAGAAAAAGGGGACAATTACTAAATACACGAGGAATACTAATCCATCTGCAATTAAAGAAACTGGATTATGATTTAGTTTAAATCAAATTAGATCAGAATTAATTATTGCTTTCATCTTGCCTACTTTAACCTACCCTTGTCCACTTTTTAGAAGATGGTTATTCCACTCAAAGACCTATGTTGCTTTTGACCTGAAAATTATTGCACACCCCTACACTAATGGTGCAACAATGTTAGATGTGGGGTTGACTATGAAGCCAGTGGTGGCAGAGTACTATGTGCTCCATGATTTTTAAAAAAGTTAAAGGTTTCCTGTCCTGTCATATTCAACTCTAGGGAGAGATGCTCATCTATGTTTCTTAGTTGAGGGAGACACCACTGTCTGAAGATATGTCTCTGGTCATGTGAACACCATGACTATATGCTGAAGCGCACAGAACACTGTTTTTCCTCACCAAAGTGGTACCTATTTATCTGCTTGCATTTGCATGCTTTCAAACTGTTAGATTGGCAGGAGTTGGGGTAAGAATGGGAGCTCACCTTGTCATGTGGTGCTTGGGTCTCAAACTGCCAACCTTCTGGTCAACAAGCCCAGAGTCTTAACCCCTAGCCCACTGCACCCCTGGTTCCATGGTATAAATGCTAAAAAAAGGACTGAAGCATTGCATGGTGATGAATGTAGCCTGCCATCCATATCCAGGCACTGAAGCTTATTTTTACATCATTCAGTAAATATGTAAATAATTTTATCTCTTGCCTTGTGTTTAGCCTATGGAATTTTGTAGGTGTTTGAAGAAGATGAAATGGGCTATCTTCCGCAACTCATCATTCAGTTCCAGTAAAATAATAATAATAAAAAATCCATTTCCTTCAATCCAAAATTTCTGCTGGCTCCAGTGCCTCCATGAATAGAATTTCTAAGTTTCTGTTTTCATACCTGGCGTACTTATAACTGTAATCTGTCGATTTGTAGAAAATGAGTAATTATGTGCCTCAAGAACATCTGTCTGTACATTCTAGCTGGTTGCAAAACTGGATTATCAATTTCATAAAGCCCCTACGTGTGGAAAGTCATTTGGCATGAACATAAAACATTAACACTTACTAGATATTTAGATCCAGATTTTTTAGAAAAATTTCAAATGATCACAGTATTTCTAAGGCCAGTCAGAGGCCATTTCCCCATGAACAGTTTAAACATCTAGCATCATCTAGCCATTATTAAGTGATATAAAGCTTGTCTCCATTTTGTTATTTTGGCAGAATGATGGTTGGATGATTTAGAAGGCAGTATAAGCTGCTGGCAGGAAAATGAGCAGAGTCAAACATTTCTAGGTCACATTGATTTCACAGGAGATTTAAAATAAACTTAGAATTCTTCTGCTGAAGTGTACGGTTTCATTTTATGTAGACTGGGTCCATGGCTTTTAATTAACTAAATTAGCCTGCCTCTAAAGCTTTTTACCTTACATACAGAATTCTAATTTATTCACTGTAATGCTTCCTGGCTGTAACAGTGTCTATTACATTGTGAAATAAAGGACAATGTCAGATCTCCTTTTACCATATTTAACTATGGGACAATTATTAATTAACACAACTGTATTTGCTTTACTAGATGCAAATAAAGAACTACAGATGAACATCCTAGCACAAAGCATGGTGTCATATAATGTGGTTACATTTCTTAATTCAGAAGGATGCTATTTCCTTCATATATCAGGCATTCAAAGCACTATGTAGCAAGCTTTTTTTTCTTTTTTCTTTTTAGAAAACAGTTTGCTTCAAAAAAGAAACAAAAAGAATTCTAGCTATGCTGCGGATATTAAATGTTCTTTTGAAAAGGTCACTTTCAAGTTGGAACCCAGTTTTCATTGTACTGTTTTGAACAATAATTCAGAAGAAAGTTGACAAAAATGTATACTCTCCTGAATAACAAATTATTGCAGCTAATATCAGCATTGCTCATTAGCTTTGGTACTTCCTCATTCATGATATCACATGTTTTATAATGGCACAAATGTTATTTAAGTTTAATACAATCCTTAATAATTTTTCACTCTGCTCCTGAACCAATTGCCTATTACAAGGAACATTCAGACTTAATGGCCAAATAGAAGTTTTCAATTTTACACAGTGAAATACCTCTTGTTACAACACTAAATCATCTAAGAATGGAAAGTAGCCTAAAATCGTTTCTTTGCTGGACATTTGTACTGTCTACATACATAAAGAAAAGTCACTTTTCAATGAGATGGTGCAGGCCACAAAGTGACAACTTAATCTGAAAACATCACAATTTACAGAAGGTAAGAAGGACTTCTCACTGCAGGAGCTTTTAAGGCTGTCAAGCACAGTGAAGTGGTGCAATTTTCTTTTAAAATGAAATATTAACTTTGAGAAGAAAAAAGAGGAAATCTTCCCATAGAAAACTTGATTTTCTACTGCTTAAGCCCTACAGCAAAACACATTAAAATTTCACATTTTGCACATGCTACTGTTCAGTCAGGCACAAATTACAGGAGCCTCATATGGCCAGACTGAATGGAAAGTCCATCTTCCCTTAAAGGGAAGTCTTTATTTTATAAAGTTTATTATACCCTAAAACTATTAAATTATGAACTGAATTCAGTTTAACAATCAATGCTGAAGTAAATAGTAAAAAAAAACAACTACAGGTGGACTTATTTGATACACAATAAATACTTTTGAGAGGATAAAAAAAATATCCTGGTGCATGATGAAAAATTATTAAGAATTTTTGGCAGAAAATCAACACTACATTCAATGCTGCCCCATATGCCTCCCACATCTGTTCTAAAGGACCAGCAGCAGCTCCCTACAACAGGTTTTGGCCTGCTTGGGCAAAAACAAAGAAAAAGGAGCATTCAGTTGTGTCATTACTTCAATGGAAATGAGGCATAATATGATGAGATAAAACTTATCACTTCTGCATCTAATATATTTTAATCAGTAGTTGCATTACAAAATAAGTTAGTAGATAGAGATAATATTTATCTATCTTTTTATGTGACATAATTTATACACCTGGGGGTTGCATTTACAGATAATCCTCGAATAGTGACTGCCTTATTTAGTGACTGTTCACTGTCATGAGATGAGACCCAGTTTGGTGATGAGAGTGAGTTTGGTTTATTGGTTAAGGTGCTGGCCTAGAACTAGGAGACTATGAGTCTTAGTCATGGAAAACTCTCTGTGTGTCTTTGGGCTAGTCACTCTCTTTCAGCCAACCCACTTCACAGGATTGTTGTTATAGGAAAAATAAGAGAGGAAGGAGTATTAGGTATGTCCATTTTCTTCCATTATTTATACACAATAATAAATAAGTAGAAAAAGTAACTCTTTGACCAATCCTCACATTTATTACCTTTGCAGTCGTTAGGAAAGGTCAAATAAGACCATAAGCACAGTCATGGTTTAACAGTAATCTCTTCACTTAACAACCAAGTTGCCAGTCCCAATTGTGGCTGCTAAATCAGGATACTTGTACTAGCCCAAGTTTGCATATTTTCTTCATATAAGATGTTCCAAAGATATTGCACTAAGCAGGGGTGTCAAACTCACAGCCCGCAGCCCAGATGTGTCACACACTGGCCACGCCCAGTTTAGTGAAAGGTGGAAAAGTCACAATACGTCACGTGATGACACAAGTTTGACACCCCTGCACTATGGTCTTTGCATGTGTACATGCAAGACATATCAGCTAAAGTTATATATTGTGACAATGTGGCACATTGTATAGGGAAATACAGTTATTAGAAAGAGAATACATTTTTAAGACCTTATTTTTATCTACGAACATCCTGCTGTGAATACTGCATCTTCCTCACTGTAAGAGTCCTGACTATTTTCTATCGGTTTGGAATTTGTATCTGTTATTTGGATTATCCAAAATGCAATACTGACAGAATGCCAAACCCAGCTGCTGATTAGTTTGCGTGTCTATTGTTACCCTAATCATTGCTTCTTGTAATTACAATTACATAACAACAAATATTTGATATTTTTAATATACAGTATATTAGATGTCCATCTGTTAGATGCATGGCTTTTGATATTAAATGATAATTGTAATTATTAACCTGTTCAGGATGTCATGTATTTACTCTAATATTTGTATTAATAATGGATCCTCATTGTGACCAGCATATATCTATCTATACCTATACCTATACCTATACCTATACCTATACCTATACCTATACATATATATGTATATGTCTCCCTTTATTTATTTATCAGCATAAATATATATATATATTTGCCCCTGGTAGGAAACAGAAGTTACTTAATTTAGAAATATATTTATTTAAATATTTATTAAATGTATTTGCCACCCATCTTATCTATAGTATTACTAAGTAATACAAATATATCTAGTGACATTCACACTAGTCCTTTAGCCCGAGACTCTGTTTTTTCAAATAATGACCCAGATTTTCTACTTTCCTAAGTCCTTTCACAATGTTGCTTTTTGTTAAAATTTTGAATTAATTTCTAAAAACTCTAGAACAGTGATGGCGAAGCTATGGCACGCGTGCCACAGGTGGCATGCGGAGCCATTTGTCAGGGCACGCGAGCCGCGATCCTGTCAGTTCACCCTTTTTTAAAGCCATTTTTGCCCTCCCCAGGCTCCAGAGGCTTTATAGGAACCTGGGGAGGGCAAAAAGAAGGCTTCCTTGAAGCCTCCGGAGCGCAAAAACCCAGCCCTACAGGCAAACCGGAAGTTCAGGAACGGATTTCCGGTTTTCTCGAAGGGTCATTTTGACTGCTCCGAAGGCTTCAGGGAAGCCGCCTGAAGGTCCCTGAAGCCTTCGGAGTGCTCAAAACGACCCTCCAAGCAAACCGAAAGTGACTTCCGATTTGTTCGGAGGGTCGTTTTGACTGCTCTGCAGGCTTCAGGGAAGCCTCCTGAAGGTCCCTGAAGCCTCTGGAGGGCATCCGGGGGGGGAGGGGAGGCTTTTTCACCCTCTCCAGACTACAAAGCCTCTGGAGCCTGGGGAGGGCAAAAAAAGCATGCAAAAAATGGAGGGGTGTCACGCCTATAGTGTGCGCATGTGCATTGGGGGGGTTCGCACATTGCATTATGGCACACCCACACACGACCCCCCTGCACGCCCTCCACTTATGGCGTGTGAGCCAAAAAAGGTTCGCCATCGCTGCTCTAGATCATAATAATGTTTACTTCAATTGAAAATAAAAAGGTAATTCCTTCCATTTCCTCTTTAAAAAAAAAACCGGAAGTGGTTCTCTTTTAATTATTGCAGAAACAGAAATATGCATTTATAATACTCTCTCTGGGGATATATAATAGCTAAAATAAGCACATGAATGAATATTTTCTCCCCAAAGATCTTTTATGGTTCTGAAAAATGCTTTAAAGGATTGACATTTTGTGCACTTAATGTATCCCAATCTAATATAACAACCCAGAGTTTGTAGAGTTGGTATTTAGACTTCTAATTGGAAACAGCTACTTTTGAGCATAGACGGAACATACACCAGAAAGATGCCTTCTGAGACTCAAAGCCAATTGTTCTGAAGGATTCAAACATTATTAATTGATTTCAATTCTTTTGCCTTCCCTTAGTTCTTTTCTGTTACTGCTGATGTTTTTACACTAGATATAAAGCATTCTGAGCATAGATGTAAAAAAATTATATCCAATGATCTTTTATACTGGCCTTTCTAATTGCATTTATATTTTCTTTGGAAAGAATTTAGAGAGAGAGAGAGAGAGAGAAGGAAGGTGTTTGGAAGTACTGTTTCCAAGACATCAAGTACTCCTAAGCTTCACCTAAAAAACTAGAAATTACCATTAACCAAAAGATGTCAAGGAAACAGGTCTGGAATAAAGAGTAGCCCTCTTTGCCTCCATAAAGTTTAAGTAGCCTTTCCATAAACCAAAGGTAGGCCTTGATTTACAACCTTTCGTTTAGTGATTGTTTGAAGTTTAATAGCAGCATTGAAAAAAGTGACTCATTTTTCACACTTATTTTGATTGTGTGATCAAGATTTGGATGCTTGGCAACTGGCTCATTACTTGTGATGGTTACAGTATCCCAGGGTCTTCCCTTTTGTGATCTTCTGACAAGCAAAGTCAGGGAGGGGGGGGGGAAGCCAGATTCACTTTACAACCATGTTACTAACAATTGCAGTGATTCAATTTACAACTGTGGCAAGAAAGGTTGTAAAATGGGACAAAATTCACTTATCAACTGTTTCACTTAGCAAGAGAAATTCTGGGCTTAATTGTGGTTGTACGTCGAGGACTACCTGGAGTATGCTGAAACTGCAATTGCCAGAACTCCCAGTAAGGAAGGAGGGGGGTGGGTGGGTTTAGAATTCTAGGAGTTATAGCCTCAACATATTTGAGAACACTAAGCTGGGAAGGCTGATCTTGTGTACATGTCATAATGTCAGAATATTCCATGATTATCTTTTCCCCAATGATGAGCAATTATGTGGAGTGGGCAACAGCATTTCCCCCCATTTTTAAAAAATATATAGGCAAATTCGTTTTTAAAAATGGCAATTTGGCATGAGTTTCATTTGGAATGCTGATTTTGGAGACCCCTAAACATTTTGTGACCTACAAGGTGAAAATACATACTTTAAAAAAATACTGTAGAGAAATAATGTTTCATTTTATACATTGTCTTTCATTCTTGTCTTTTCACATGCTATTTCCATTAAGCGTCACATAAAAATCAAGATATGGTTGAAAGCACTCTGCTGAACTTTATAACAAATTAGTGACACCTTTCACCATTCATGTTATCACACAGCAAAAATTTCTTAAAAGCAGAAATATTTTTCTTAATGTTACAATAAAAATTAAAGTAGTTGAGGAAAATTAGTTAAGCTTTGGTATCTGAAAACTTTGTAACAAATAATGTTCTTGTTAAAATACTGTCTAAAAATTATATTCACACTTTGCAAGATTTCACCCATTCCAAAAATAACTTTCTAATGTGGCAAGTACGTTTGGTTGCTCAGAAATTATTATCTGAATTGTTCTGTAATGAACGTAAGTGAGAACAACAATGTTTTTAAACCAGAAGAAATGAATTTTTAGATTGCTATGCTATTTATGATCAATTGAAAATTCTTTTAGTTTGCTAAGAGTTTGGACCCCATAACAGAGACAGAATGTCCTGATCAACACAGAAAGCATGCTTTGTAAGCTGATGCATTATGAGAGAAAGATCTGCTTCACAACATTGGTTATTTAAAATTGAGCTGGGCCAAATTTTGCCCTCAGTCAAGCAAGCTCAAGCCCAACCTAAACCTGAGCAGAAGAAGGCATGAGCTGCATGTAGAGAACCAAGAGCAGAATTTAGCCTCTGCTTACATTAAACAAATCCTTTAGCGGATAAATAATGAACAAAAGAATCTATAAAACAGACAAGCAAGCATTAAAATATTAATAAATATCAAAAAACCCAAAAAACAAAAGCCAGAGCCACTTACAGGGCTTGATGGAGTCTTTGGCCAGCCTGGGCTGCCAATGCTATCACTTTCATCTCCATGAAATGAGGAGATGCTAGCAGAACTTGGGGACATTGGGGAAGGGACTGGCAGGTTGCCTGGGGTTGGGGGCTGAGAAATACCCTGAGAGCTGTAGCTATCCTGTGGTAGAGGAATAAAAAAAAGGACAAAGGCAGGGCAAACTTTATTAAAAAGGAAAAAAATACATCCAGTTTAACAGACTGACTGTTTTTTTTAATTATATGAAATATAAACAGAGACACACAGAGAAAAAATACACACGTACAATATACATATGCCTTAAAACAACATTTATCATATAATCTTGCAATTTTGCTGGATGCTTAGCTTAAGCTATGCCACCATGCTTTCGTCAAGCTAAATGAAGCATCAAGCAGGGATTTCCCCTCATGAGATAAAGAGAGAGAAAGAAAGGGACAGACAGACAGAAAGAAAGAAAGAAAGAAAGAAAGAAAGAAAGAAAAAAACATAAAGAAAGCTGATCATCTTATTTTTATCAAATAAGGAAATAAAGCAAAGGATTAAAGTATGCTGTGGCTATTGAAATGGCCAAAACAGGAAGCTACAATGGAAGACAGAGGAAACATGGCTGCTGCCAAGTACCAAGGGCAAGATAAGATCCACTTTTTCCCAGTTAGGGATTATTTGAAACCTCCCCCCTCCAAGATTTTATTGAGCTTTATTTCCCCACCTCCCAAGGTAATGCCGTAAGAACTAGTAACTTTCAGATCCAGATAAGGAAAAGAATAAAACCAAAATAATAGATTGCACATGAATGGGGGAAAAAAATCCATGCAGGAAAGAACTGAAGGGGCAAGCTCAAATCAGAGAATGAAGGACAAAGCCATAGAGTTCTGCTGTGCCAAGCCAAGAATGCATGCAAGGGAAGGAAGTACCTTTTTGCTCTCTGGCTGAGGAGGTCCTTCTTCTTTTCCATCCGGTTTGAGAGGAACAGGCAATTTGGACTCGGCTTGAGTCATCAAATCTGCAAGACCCATAGGTGCTAATTGAAAACAGGAGACATGATTAAGGGTAACTTCCTTCTGTCCCCAACTGATGGCACAAGATGGTCAGAAAAGGTGGATGTTCTTTCTCTTATGGAAGCTGGGACGAGTTTTGTATCTCAGCAAATAGATTTTGAAAATGAATTAAATGTTTCTTAAGGGGAAGCAATTACACAACTCTTTACAGCCACATATGCCACATTCATTCTGGAAAATGACGACCAACTTTATTAGGCCCATCTTTGATTTGTGAGCTGGCAAACACTGTTGAAACGTTAGATGAGTTATCTCAAATGTAACTATGTTCAATTTTATGAGAATTTTTATCAGTCATGCTACTTTCGCATACAGAATGTAGTCACCCATTATGGAACATCAGTACTACTGAAAAGTTGCTGTGATTAGATGCATTTACAATAAATGTCAAAATACTGAGTATTTCTTGAACAGAACAAAACAGCACACTAAAGCATGGGAGACCAAGAAAGCTGGGACTGTAATAAAAGAGAAATGCGTGATTTGCTTATTTAAATTGATTTAAGTGATTCTGATAATCCAAAGATTTACTCTCTCTTTATTCTCATTTCTAATTTTAAGATCTTTTTTTACAAGAAAAGTGGGTATGTGTATCAAACTTCTGCATCCATGGATCACTTTACAGATCTGATAGGACTTTACTAGAAGACACATATACCAATCACTGTCACATCAGCTATTATAATTAATATATTAAGGCACTGAATTGGAATTTGCAATGCATTATAGTTTCAGAAGTAGAATGAAAGCCTTACAATTACATTAGTAAGCACTTTGTAATATTCTACCAACCTTCTAGTTAACAAATGCCTGGCCTGCAATAGATTTAACTGTGCTACATTCTTTAACAGGTAAATTATTTCATAGATCTCTCAGTGGCTGACATGAACATTCAGCTCTAAAGACACCAGCTTGGAATACAGTGTAGTGTAATATTGATAATTCCCGTTCAAGTAACACTTATGCAGCCATATCACGGAGGTATGCCTCAGAAATGTTCATTTTCTTCCTAGTGTTGGAAGGATGTGAAAAGTAAGTTGTAAGGCCATGGCTGCTCATCACGGAAATTTCCTATTTCAACTTCAAGAGGGAAATAAATAGTTGAATCAAAATTATATCTTTCCTTTCCTTTTATAGTATATTCACATATTTAAACAGCAGAAGCATTTAAGTTAAGGTACTTTCTTGATGAATCTCCATAGCCTAAAACTGCATTCCAGAGTCAATCTTTTCCATTCTCTCTCTTTTCATGGTTCTTCTATCTTTGTCTCTTTCTCCTATGGTTTTCCTACCTTCTGTTTTGGATTAGGGACAGGTACCAGTATGGCTGTGGGATACACTCCATAGACACACAACTGTGTAGAATTCAAGATATACAGTTGTGACTATGTGCCTAACCCTAAAACACAAATAAAAAAAGCAACTCATCTTATACTTGCAAACATTTTCTAGAAATAATTGAAAACCATACAGGTTGTCCTTGATGTATGACTGTAATGGAGACTGTCCACTATGGTTATAAGTCATGATGGTCATAAAGTGTGTCAACCACATGATCGACCTGAGTTTTAGTGGGGTTCATTAAGTGAATCACTATATTCATTAAGCAAAATCGCTGACTTTAAGCAAATCTGCAGTCATCAGAGGAACCCATTGTTTGCTTCTGGAGCTTTTTTTTGTGGGAAACTGGAAGTAAATGCCAGTGTTTGGTAAAAAAAAAAGGTTATAATTCACAGTCATGACACTGTGGGATGCTGCAAATGTCCATAAATGCAGGCCAGTTGCAGGCGGTTGCCAAGCACCCAAAATGTGCACATGGGAGGAGGGGGGGTTTAGAACTGGTTTGTCAGTACCTTTTGAGGGATTCATAGTAATTTTGAATGGTTGCTAAAGATTGGTCATAAGTTGATGACTACCTGTGGTGTATACTACATAGCCTGCACCTTGTTGGGTCATCATTTCAGATATATTTAATTACCCAAAGAGAGGAACAGAATGACTGTGGGTAGGGCAAAAAGCAGTGGAACCAGGAGTGACTTCCAACTTCCTGCTGGCTTCCCCATTGTGTTTTCTCATGGCAAGCTGGCAATAAGCACTGGAAATCAATCTTCCTTCCTTCCTTCCCTTCCTCTCCCCTCTCCAGCAGGTAAAGGTATCTTTGTTGATAAAGTTTTGCCCTATGACATAGTGTTTTAGCCAGTTAAAGGTTACAGATAGAAAAGTTTTATATATAGCGCACGTGTACACACATACATATGTGGGTGTGTAAAATTCATTCAGTGTTTCCTATAAAATCAAAGTCTCAGAACAAATGCTATCAGTAGTTACTTTTTAAAATTCATTCTTCAACAGACAGTAAAAGCACTCACGAAATGAATTTGAATGCACATGTCCCAGGATAATGTTGCAGGATCCAATCTGGGTCGGTCACTGGAACAAGAGGTTTTGTTTTCTGAGCTTTTGAACATTTGTGCTGGAGCCCATCCTCAGGGAACTTCTCTCTCACTCTGCTAGGGAGAAGTTCCCTGATGAAGGGTTCTGGCACGAGTCCCAAAGCCTGGAAGACAAAACCTCTGGTCCTGGTGACTGACCCAGATTGCAGTAAAAAAACCAACAAACAGCTTATTCTGGTATCTATTTACAATTCATATAAAAATCCTGAGTTGTCCCCCCCCCCCAAAAAAAAAACCCTAAAAGTGAAATATGCCAATGATTACAGGCCCAGAAGCTTCAGCCTATGGTTTCTGGGCTGCTTTGCTTTTCTGCAACAGGGTAATGCAGCATTCCAAGCAGCAGCCAACATGTGGGAGAACAAGCCAAAGGGAAAGGGGGGAGCTTTAAAAAACACTTTGCAGATTGCCCACTACAAAATGATTACTGCACATATCCATGTATTACTATGTTTTAGGAAATAATTAGTTTTTAATTACAGCAGTGAGAGAAGGAGCAAGACTCTGGCGGTTAAGCTGGCAAGCTTCGTGGTGCTAATTTGCTAATATTTTTAGCATCACTTCACTGCAGGTTGGGAGAACGGCTCTGCCAAAAAAAAACTAACCAGTGCCCCAGGAGTATATAGCTAACAATATATTGAATATGGATCTGTGAACTGTATCTGTAGGCCAAAGACGACCAAATGAAAAGGGAGCAAAATTCAGAAAGTATAATACAGCTTTCCTACAACCTTACAAGTAGAACATATTGTTCTTCTCAACTAATGGAACATCAGAAAACAAAGGGATTTAGGGATCAGGTAAACATCCCAGTGCATATTTTAATAAAATGAATAAGAAGTGCAAAATGCCCTCCCAAAATGGAACATGCTGATTCCAGATCAGGAGACCACCTTGAGTTTAGCTGGCATCTTCTCCACTGCCCCCCGCCAAATCAGACTATAATGCCAGTCAAAGTTATTTGTGAATTCGCTGGTATTAAGTGTACTAAGGCTGCTGCAAGCCTTCCAAAAGAAGTTGAACAGTGAGTTACACAAAGAATGATAATTTCTGCTACTTCTAAATTATTCAGGTAACCATTTGAACAATTGCACAAGAGCAGAACAATTTGAATAGAAAAGTGTAATCTAAATCTTGGATGATATGTTATGAAAGAAGAATCATGGGCAATCTATATCCTCTGAAATTGGTTTATTTCTTGCCTGAGTCAGCAAGAGAGCTTATAAGACATCTGCCACATGTTTCCTCTGTGAATTATGAAGCACATCTGGATACAAGAAAATTGCCATCTGTACTGTGATCCATTGTCCACAGCTACAACTAGAGCAAAGCTACTGTCATCTTGAGAAAGAACAACTAGTGTGGTTTGTAAATAGATAATAAATTCTAGCTTTCTTGTGGCATTCTCCATCTTTTGCTGCAATGTTTTTTATAAGGTCTCTTGAGTCCCTTTGCTTTCAAGTCCAATGACAAACTGAGGGCATCATTTTGACCCTGTTTTAAGCAGTGAAAGAATGCAATTGTCACTGTTCTGGCAAACTCCAGCGCATACACATTAACAATCCAGCCTATAAATTGTCAAAAGACACAAAACGTAAAAATGGAAGATAACTGTGACATCTATTACTGAAAAAGTATTGCTGTAAAGAGTGAATAGGCTCCAAGAAATAGCCTTGGGCTTTTTCTAAGTTGAAAGTTGGGATAGTTGAGAAAAGAAAATATGGGTCAAGGTTCTGAATGACCTACATCACACCAAATTTAGCACACTTAAAGGCAAACACAACATAATTTATATTGCAGTCAAACTGCCTGTGTTTTCTCCCCTATCTTCTGATAATGATATTGTTGTCGGTGTCAGAAAATGTTCTCAAAGCTAGTGGTAACTCTAGCAACTTTGCTAGAAGCAATAAAAATCCCAATACATCAGCAGTTGAATTATGCATTTACTGCCTTCTAGAATTAATGGGATCTTACATGGAGATCTCCTTTTATTTTGTCCCCATATCAGTACAATTTTGTAATGTGGGACTTCATGGTTAAAGATGGGTTTGAATTGAATTTGAATTTCCTCTGGTTAAAGAATAACACTTAGACTACTATGTCACCTTTAACTATCTTATATTGAGTCGGGCCACAAATATATCCATTCCCTACTCAGTGTTGAGACAGAGGAAGCTCTTTTTCCTTGAGCCCAGTCTAAAAGAGCCTATGCATCCTTACTGTTTGAGATTAAAACCTAACAAAATTGTGTCCATGTTTACTTATCAAAAATTATTATTTATAAGCAGTCTGCCAATGGCTGAAGTAATGTGTGATAGCAAAGGAAAAAGAGGAGGACACAATCCAGAAAGGGCTGAGAGATATTGTGATGTGAGCTTGCCACTCACCCTTTCTTGATCTTGAAAATGGGGAAATTGGCTAGTCTGGATGGGATTACACTCCCTCTGTAGCAGGAACTCAGTCTAATGGTGTTCCTAAAAATAATACTTCCAACATAGTATTCCGGGTAAGCCATTACATTTGATGCCTCCCCTTTGCACCATAATGGCTATTAGTTCAGCTGCCCTGTAGTATCATCCCTCAAATCCTTTATGCAGGTTTTTGCAAAATAAAAAGGTTGGTTGTAAGAAAACATTGGTTCTGAGATCTAAATCATTGTCGGTAGCTTGTATCACGTTACATTATCACACAATAGTTTTCTCAGTATAAGGCATTCACAAACTGTCTATAGACTCATAGTTAGAGTTCCTATATTTTCTGAAATATGCCTGAACACTTTCTGTGGATAGACAGATTCCTGGATCAAGGCAAATGACTACCACAGTGACAGATGTGCTTTGCTTGGAACAGAACTGCTGAAGTGAGCAGCGGTAAACTGTAAAGCCAAATATAATATTTTGTGCCAATTTACTTAAGCAAAAACAGAAGAAACGCTGTTTGTGGCTAGAACAAAAATTACTTTAAAATATAATTACATTAATGGCAAGTTTATACAGACTCAGCAATATTGTTATGCAATACTTTTTTTAAAACTAAAACAAGCATAATGAAAATTAATGTCCAGTAGTGAACCAGAAGATGAAAAAAATGGGGAAAATACCCAAAGTTATAGTCATGAAGTAAAATTTTAATACACACTTCCTTTTTTCAAATGAAACATTTCTCGTGATCGCAATTTTTTCCTTGGTATTATAACTGCAAAGGCAGTTATATACATAGCCACTTTTGTTTCTCTTTCAATAATTATTTAATTACTAAGGCCTATAACAATTCATCTCTACCCAAGAGGCTACTTGAAATGCTTCCTATCTTCCAAGATCATCTAAGGGGTATTTTCTTTATCTTCTATGTTGCGCTAATGGAACAGAGAGATAGTTAAAGTGCCAGTTATCTGAATTAATGTCTTTGGATAATTCTATTAAACTATTATTGGCAGAACTACAATGTCCTCTTTCGAGGCAATATATAGATGTCTCTGAAAACTCTTGCATGTGCTCAGAATCAGAGAGAAAGAGTGTAGTAAGTCTTGCTAAGCTTTCCTGGCTGGTGAAAAATTCTTGAGCTAGGTTTATTATTAGCACCAGTACAACAATGCTGCTTTGTTCACATTACATAATTCTAATTAAATTACTTAATTAAAGTAAATTTAAAAAATACAACTTTACGCCTGCTCTAAACTGGTACCATCCAAATATGTGGACTTTAGCTTTCAGAATGTCTCAGCAATTATGTCTATTGCTGCAAATTCTATAGCTTCAAAGGCACAGATCTAAAAGATGACAAAGTTGGGAAAGATTCATTTAAGTCAATGATTTTTAAACTTTTTTCTTTCAGGATCTCTTTCGACTTTAAAAAATACTTAGGGAGGAGCATAAAAGTGCTTTTGTTTCGCTGGGTTACATTTATAAATATTTGCCATATTAAAAATTAAAATTGATGCATTCACTGCTGCTACTACCTCTCAAAATTGTTTGATGGGATTTTAATATTGTATTATTTTAATTTAACACCAAATAGGAGTCAAAAGACATAATGAAATGTCCTTCATCTCACAACACATGGATAGAGTCAACCATAGTTTCCACTTGGAAAACATGAACATCCTAGACAAAAAGGCTAGGAAATTATCAGAAGCTTGGCATTCATATAAATCAGCCATTAATAGACATATAGAAATAAACACATTTAAATATCATTCAAAAGAGATAATAAAAAGCTAAGAAGGAAACAAAAAGACCAGAACACATCTTCTGAAGCATCCTGTACCCAAATAAATAGGGATTACTACCAAAAGAACAAGTAAGCAGAAAACAATATCCTAATAAAGGAATAACTGGTACTTAGGGGGAAAAAACCACACACATACACATTCCAACACTGGGAAGATAAGTTACTATACATAAACAGAGAATAACCCCACACTCACTAACACTGATGACGTTGCCTAGTTGGGTGATGAAATATCTGCCAGAAAACAAGCAAGCTCAAGGACTCCACAGTTCAATCCTGAGCTACATATATTCTCTTCTATGGTTAAATTACTGTAAAAACTCAATTTTTCAGAATGTGTAATGTAATAAATATACAATGACTACTGCATACAAAAGACATATGATAAGTGATTTTGTATTGAATAGATTTTCACTGCATGAAGTAATAAATGGCTGAACTATCTGAAGAAAAAATCACCATGTGTATCTTTCTTAAAATTGGTTATTCTTTTGCAATACATAAATCTTCTTAAGGCAGGACATTCTACCATCAGTTTGCTTGTTGGTGATGTTTGCGGATCTAGGAACCAGAGAAGTTAGGGTAAAGAAATTACTGCTGCGAAGCAGAAAGCTAGAATTTATAGCGTAGTTTCTATGCTCAAAAGTAATTTTATTTCAGCCAGGCAGACAAAATAGGTAACTACATAACCCAAACACAGTAATAACTAGGACAGTTTTGGTGAGGAATAAGACGGTGATTATCATTTGCTTAACAAGACTTTTCCTTTTTCAACTGGAATAAAAGTGTGCTGCTTGTGCCTTATACTAAAAAGAAGCAATTTTTTTAAATTTTTTTTTTAAAAAAACCTTCCTGCATGATTAAAAGTTTTCATACCTCTCCTTATCCTTGTTGAAAACACAACATAAAACCATTATAAATAAGACCAGTGGGAGTACCTCTGTTAAACAGTTGCCTATAGGATAAAAAAAGCAGGCATAATGAGGCCATAGGTCAATAATGGTTATTTTCAGCTCCCAGAAAAATACTGCAGAAAACAAAAACTTTAAAAGATTGTGGGGAGAGAAAAAAAATGGGGGTGAAGTACAAATGTCCCTTGTCTGCCTACTTATTGGGAAACTATTCCATACATGTGACTAAATAGTTTTTTTTTACTAATAACTCAAGACAACATGGCTGCTGGAAAACCCCATTATGACAGTCATTGGAGGGGGAAAAATGAAACTGATAATGTAAGTCTGAATATTACCGCAATGAAAATGAGCAACTAAATAATCTCCCAGGGAACAAGATGTTTTGTAATGATATCCCTGCAAACAAAAATAAATGCATTTTTGTGTATTGTATTGCAAACAAAAATCCATTTCAGTAAATTTTACTGGAAAAAATCCATTTTCTTTGTATTTTCGTAGACAAATATACTACCTGGGTCTTTCAGAAAGTTATACTTGAGGTAGATAAGAGACGTATTATGAGACACTCTGAGTTTGGCCAAAAATATTGTTTAACCATAGGAATCCTGGTTTCAAGATCTCTGCTACATTTTAAACAAAAGTCTTCTTCTAGACCTACCAGTTGTCAAATGGGCAAAACCCATGTTTTCAAGAAACAAAGAAGAGAAAGTAGAGATATGGCGAAAATATATCTAGGAGTTAATTGGAAATTTTCAAATTCTTACATCAGGATTTTGATACATGCATATGCAATTGTACCGCTGTCAAAGAGAAACACTTTAAAGATTTCTACCTTTGAAAAAGCAGCCTGCTACTCCTTGAAATTTTACCAGTCATTACCTGTGGAACTGTTCACCATGTTAGGTGGTATGCTGTAAGGAGGAGCTTGAGGGTTCATCAAACTTGAGTTGCTGTTCATTGGTTGGGTGTATGGAGAGCTGGATCCCATAATGCCACTCTGATTGATGACAGGAAAACTGCCTTGCCTGAATGAAGAGAAATGACACACACATGCACAAGCTCTTATTAAATTTCTTACTGTACAGTACATCTCAGTTAGTTACAAAATTCATACTTCAGTATTCACAGACACCTACAGAAGATGTAGCCGGTTAGTTTTTGCTTGCGTCAGGAGCTTACTAGTAATGAACTTATTCTGAAGTCCATTCTAAAGTCATTTCATGCAGATCTCTAAGCAAAATAGATGCAATATATGTTAATTTAAAATGGATAAATCTGAATACTATGTAAAGAAGTTGAGATTGGACATGGCCAACACATAGTGATGAAAGCACATAAAAGAGAATAGAGTGCTCACTATTGAAGTTAAAAAAAGAACTCAAGATAAATTAGCTAAGAGCTTTTGATTGTATTTTGCCTACCATACTAAAAAATATAATAAAAAATAAAGCAACTCTCACAAAGCAAAACAAAAATGCATAAACAGATTGAAATTGTACTACCGTATTTTCACGACCAAAAGCCGCACCGGATTAAAAGCCGCAGTATCAATTAACGCTAATTTTTTTAACCTTTT